CTGTTGTGATCCCTGTGATAATTAGGCAGTTGGATTGAACCTTGAGATTCATCCTCCACTCAAAAAATACAATCTTTACTGGTTACTGAAGCAATAGCACATTTTTTAAAAGTGCCAAGAATGATCAGAGTTTTCAAATTGGGAGCTGTGAAATTAGGAAAGAGCCGAGAAAGAAGCATGGAGAGCTTGAGGGGTGTTGCTAATGACAGGCCAGTGGAGTGGGTCAGGGCAGAGGGCAGCCCAGATCTGCATTCCGAGACAGTGAGGGCATCTTGCCAGCCTCTTTGTTCATCAGGCTTCACAAAAGCTTCAAGGTTTGTGGCTCTGAGTTTCCTCCCTGATGTTTCCTGCAGATTGGAGGTGCTTACAGTGGTGACCCAAAGCCAGCTGTTTGAGTATAAAAGGATTGCACTTACACAATAACAGCTGCACATGTTTTGTTGTTTTCAGAAAATCGGCATTCTCCAGGTAATTCTTACGCCAAGAGACAGACCGATGCCAGTAGTTACTAGTTGCGGAGTTACTGGGGCAGTTTCAGCTGGATCCATCATGGATATTGTTTCACCCTTGAGTTCCACACACTGCATCACCTAAACCTGCTTGTTTCGTCCACAGGGAAATGGGGCACAATCTACTGACCCAAATGCTGTGTTGCAAATTTAACTGGCTGTAGTGCTTGCTAATTCAGTACTATAACTGAGAACATTGAGAAAGACTTGGCTTGCCGCAACCTGGCTGTGGATCTGCCATGTAACTTGGAGTCCAGCGTCCAGTCTTAAGGAGCTCATTTTCTCCTAAGGTTACTTTGGGCTGTGTCCACTCAGCTCGTCTGTGTGATGTCACAGTGTTGAGGAATGGCTGAGTCCAGGATCTTGTTAGTGACAGAAAAGGAAATTCAAGGACTTGATACAGGTAAAGTCCAGCAGAGAAGCAAGATTTACAAAGTCAAAAAAGAACCCAGGACCCAGGAAGGAACATGGGCATGCGCAAGAGAATGCTGCCCTTAGTAAGGTGTAGGTTCATCATTTATCTGATCTAAGGGGACTGAGGGTGTGTCTGGGACAAAACCTAACCCTTTGTGTCCCACTGCTCTCTGTATATGGACATCTATAGAAGGAATAGCCCACAGTTGGAAACTTGGGACTTAATGGGTTAAGCCTTTTGGGGGAAAATCTTGTCCTGATGTCGGGTGCGTGATGGGAGTTGATATGTGAGCATGGTCATTTTAAAGTGACTTTCTCAATGATTTCTCACCAGTGATAGACACGGCCAGCAGCCATCTTAAGTGTCTTAAGCAAAAAAGTGAGAAACCCACAGGCAGTCTCTCTGAACTGCTATGCTAGGCCCTCTTCTGCCAGGCATTCGGCATCTTTCTCCTCAGTTAATTTTTACCCATGAACAGGGACATCCCTGCTAGTGAGCTGCACATCAGAGATGTGAATCCAGAACCCAGAACTAAGCAGCCACACGTACTGCCTGACAAAAACATTTCTAAATGCAGAGTAGCTGACAGCAGTCAAGTGGAGAATACCAGGGTCAACCAATTCCAGTTTGAACATGACTTCCAGGGCCTAGCACAATGGCTCAACTGGCTAATCCTCCACACTTCCAGTGCAGACATCCCGTATGGGAGCCGGTTCGTGTCCCAGCTACTCCACTTCCCATCCACCTCCGTTAGGGCTGGGAAAGCAGGACAATGGCTCAAGTCCTTGGGACCCTACACCCAAATGGGAGACCCAGAAGAAGCTCCTGGCTCCCAGCTTTGGATCAACTCAGTTCCAGCTATTGTAGCCATTTAGGGAGTGAACAACAGATAGAAAAGGTCTTCCCAACATCCCTTCTCTCTGTAAAATCTGACTTTCAAACTAAACAAACAAATGAATGAAATCTTTTTAAAATAAAGATGTTTTTATTTATTTGAAAGTCAGAGATAGAGGGAGCGTTTCCATCCAATTGTTCATTCCCTAAATGACTGCAACAACATGGGCTGGGTCAGGCTGATGCCAGGAGCTTCGTCTAGGTATCCCATGTGGATGCAGGGACCCGAGTACTTGGCGGGTCCTCCACTGTTTCCCCAGGCCAGTAACAGATGGGTGGGAAGTAGAGCACCAGGGACATGAGCTGGCTCAGATGGCAGCATCCCCAGGCAGCGGCTTCACCTGCTTCATCACAGCACTGGCCCTGAAACACTCCTACAGGGCAGCTAAAGCCTAAGCATTTTGAACTCTCACCCTTTAGTTCTTGGGGCGCCACAAAGAATGACCGCCTCCTGCACCCGAGCTTAGAAGCCTGAACTCGGCGCTAGGACGTAGTTCCCCCCGATGTCTGCAGAATTAGTGCCTGGGAGAGCTCTCCGCTGCATTCACATTGTTCAGGCTTGTTTTTACCTTGGTCTGCTGACCATGGTTTCAGTCCTTCCATGGCAAGCAGCTGGCAGAGCACCGTGTATCTTCTACTCTGCTGTGTCCCCGGATGTGGGCCCACAGCACAGCCCCGTCGGAGCTCACAGACCTCAGTCCTGGGGACTGGCCGCAGTGGGTGTGTGAGAAGAGGAAGGATCCCGGGGCTCCCCTGTCCAGTAGACTGCCTTTCCAGGAAGGCTGTGTTGGCAGCATCCTGTTTTCCTAAGGCTCAAGACTAGTACATGAAGCTGAAAAAAGCAAGCTGGCATTTACATTGTTTCATGTCTTAATATTTCTGTAGCCAAGCAATTGTTGAGCAAAGGGAGAAAAACTTAAGGGGACAGAAGCCTATGTAGGAACAAGTGACAAGGCGATTAGGGCACAAAATTTGGGTTCCACTTCACTGGTGCACGGCCAGCATAATTATGATGCTGTGAGCCGCCTCCAGCCTCGGGTCGGGCCTGCATGCTGGCTCTTAGCTGCCTGCCTCTGCACACTGCTAGAAGGCCTAAGTTCGCATTGCTCTGCAGGGTGGACCTGGAGCAGAGCTGCTGGGGCGGCTGGGAACTGAGCGTTAAGTTGAGAAACTACCAGGTTGTTTCCTGAGACAGTGGCGCCATTTTATGTTCCCACCAGAACCTGAATTTCCCCATATCCTCACCAACACTAATTACCTTCTTTTTGATTATAGGCTCATAATATTTTTATTATAGCCCTAATCCTCCCCTTGACTCCACCCTGACATCAAGCCCCGAGTTGTGAGTTGTCCTCGCAGTTTCGGGCTGTCCCCTTTACAGCTGTGTGATCTGGGTCACCACTGATTTGACTCATTTATAGTTGGCACGTAATAACTGTGCCATATTTTGTACACATTTGAAGGCTAGCATGAGTTCCACACAAGGATTACAGTGTGCGATGGTGACATGCAGGCTGAGATGTCTCACTAAGGAAGGGACATAGTTGTTTCAGTGTGACATCACACTATAAAGTGGTTTACATGAACTGGCTTTAAAGTCAAATCTGATTCAAAGCCTTGCTCCCCTGTTTACTACATATGTATGTTTTGGTCAAAAGAGGAAAAAAAAAAGACATTTGTCTGAAAGGCCAAGCAAGACAGCTCCCTCCGCTGGTTCACTCTCCCAGTGGCTCCAACTGCTGGGTCTGGGCCGGAAACGATGGCAGGCTCCACAGGGGTACAGGAGCCCAACACTTGGGCCATCAGCCACCTCTTTCCTGGGCACACAGCAGGACACTGGATTGAAGGAGCAGCTAGGAACTCTCGCTCCAGTGTGGGATGCTGACAGTGTCAGCAGCAGCTTAACCTCCTGCACTACCACACTGGCCACTGGAGCTAGCTGCTTTTATCCTGGGACTTCTGTGAGTAGGAAGCCCTGGGGTTCTTGTCCCCCCAGTGGGGGACCCGTGTGACAGAGGCCTTTATTCCTGGTCACCAGAAGCTAATAAAGCCATGTGTTTTATCCTTGTCCTGTTTGTAGGGGTTCGTAATGTACAGCCTTCAGTCTGCCTTCTCCTCCCACACCCACATGCTGTCCTCACCACCACCAGATAACTAACCTTCCTTAGAATCCACTGACACTGGTCTGCCCTGAGGCCATTGACTATCTGTTCCAGAACTCTGCTCTTCCGCCTACTTCTTAAGACCAGACTTCCCTTTCTCTCCCCAGCAGACCCACTGTTGTGAGTGTTCTGTACATTTCCACCTCTAGTCCTTAGCCATGTTCTTCTTCTAGTTGGCCTCTCTGGTCTCATCCTTTAAACCTTCCTTATTCCCACTGGTCCATAGATGTCTTGCCTGGGTTCCAGTTCAGTACCCCAGTATGGTTCCAAATGCTGTGGGTACTAGGTGAGATTACGCCTGCTCTCTCCATGCTCCGTGCATTCCACCTGCTGAGGTGACTGCCATCTCAAGAACGTGACCCTGTTTTAGCTGAACCTCTCCCTTCTTGTGTGCTGCAGGCTCTGTTGCATTTGGGCTTCAGCCCCATGTGGCAGCACTTCCTCCACCTCCCTGCACACACTGCACACCTGCACTGACCTTGTGCTATGGTCATACTTGAAATGATCTTGATTTCTCTGTAATATGAAGGAGAGAAGAACACCCGAGGACAGCTCTGTCTGCCTTAGTGAGTATGTCCAGCAGACAGCAGCCTTCAAGCAAGTATATGCTCGCTGGAGGGTTCTACAGGATGCGATTGGCCTTGAGGGGAAGAGCTCTCTGACTGGTGTCTTATGACCCTGGCACCTAAATATCCAGATGAGTGGGCCATCCAGGACAAAGGAAGATTCTGGCGACTACTGTGAAGTCTCTTCTTCTGAGGTCACTGGCCTGTGCTCCTTTCCCCTGGGCTGCTCAGAGCAGTGAAGCCTGCCTCTGTGGAGCAGGTGTGCTCAGAGCTCACTGCACATTCTCTGTTGAGAAGACTGTGGGAAAGTTCTCGGTTGCCAGGCTGAGCTACACCCATGGCCACCAAGACTCTGCTTTTATTTTTCTCCGTTGCAGAATGGGATTGGGTGTAAATAATACTAGCAAAAATACTTTTCAAATCTATGAAATTCTACGCTTTCTCTCCTTCTTAGATGTGAACGATTAGAGGAACAACTAAATGACCTAACAGAGCTCCACCAGAATGAAATCTTGAACTTGAAACAAGAATTGGCCAGCATGGAAGAGAAAATCGCATACCAGTCCTATGAACGGGCCCGGGACATCCAGGTCAGCATGAAGGATCAGGTTTAAGTGCAGCTCCTGGAGGGGAGGGCTGGGTTTAGTGGCACAGCAGGTTAAGTCTCTGCTTGTGACCTCATGTCCCACACTGAAGTGCAACAAGGTACCTTGTGACCCAGACTGACTTCAGCCTGACCTAGTTCCGGTTCTCTGAGAAGTGTATGTGTGAATAGGATTCTCTCTCTGCCTTTCAGATTAAGAAGTAGCAACAAAAAGGCAGAATATTGGAACTAGTGCATTGGCTCAATTGGCTAATCCTCCAACTCCAAGTGTAGGCATCCCATTTGGATACCAGCTCATGTCCCAGCTGCTCTGCTTCCCATCCAGCTCCCTGCTCGTGGCCTGGAAAGTAGCGGAGGATGGCTCAGAACCGTGGGACCCTGCACCCATGTGGGAGACCTGGAGGAAGGTCCTGGCTTCAGATCAGCTCAGCCCTGGCCATTGTGGTCATTTGGGGAATGAACCATCTGATGGAAGATCTTCCTCTCTCTTTTAAAATCTGCCTTTCCAATAAAAATATGTTTTTTATAAAACCACAGAATATTGCAGAGTTTGAAAGATGAAAATGAAGAGGTGCCACATACATTCTAACACCAACTGCTAGTGAGAATGCAGAGCAAAGACGGTCTACTCCCCTGCTGGGGGCTGTGCAGACCAGTGCAGCCAGTGGAAGTCAGTATAGAGACTGCTCAGACAACTGAAAGTTGACCCACCGTAGGACCCAGGTATCCCAATCCTGGGAGTCCATCCAAATGAAATGGAATCCGTAAACAGGAAAAAGACACTCAACCTGTATGTGTAGCAGCGCACTACACAATAGCGAAGACATGGTAACAATCCAGATGCCCGTCCATCCACAGGCAAATGCAAGAAACAGCAGGAGCATCTACTCTATGGAATACCACAGCCGTAACAGAAATGAAATATTACCATTTGCAACAAAATGCTCCCAATAGGGGACCACTATGCTTAATAAAATAAGCCAGTCCCCAAAGAACAAATATCATGTTCTAATAAGCTAGCCTGCAAGCAAAGTACAAGACAGATGCATAGGTAGTCAAGTATGCACCTGTATCCTCATAGATAAACTGTATGATGGAGACTAGCACCCCGGGAAGTGAAGATACAATGCACTGTGTATCTACTCCCAAACAAAAGGTTTCCCAGTGAAACAGTTAAATATACTAATATACTACATAGTCTACCTTCACCTATACCTACAATGCCATGATACACTTAAAGAGAAAGCTGAACTGTTACTGAAAGACCACGCTGCTGTGTAAGTGTGGAAACAGGAGGGGGATGGGGAAGGAGCAAGGGAAGCTGGGAAGTGTTAGGCCTGCAGAATTGCATCATGGAAAATAGTAACTTTAAAAAAGTAAAAAAGAGGCACATTGCTAAGCAGTTTAGGAGAATAGTACAGGGTGCAGTCATGGTTAGGATGAGTGGCCCATCTGTTTTAGTGGGGGGGGGGGATATGCCTCCTCATAGAACATTCTATTAAGTGGACATTTTGAGAAGTAGATTTACATAGAGACATAAATGGCCACAATGGCTGGAGCCGAGCCAATCCATAGGAGCTTCTTCTGGGTCTCCCATGTGGGTGCAGGGGCCCAAAGAGGCCATTCTCCACTGCTTTCCTAGTCCAGAAGCAGGAAGCTGGATCAGAAATGGATCAGCCGGGACTCAAACTGGTGCCCATATGGGAAACCAGTGCCACAGGCAGGAGATTAGCTTGCTCTGTGGGCCAGCCGCAGATATTTCTAAGGGAGCTATGTTTCCTCTGGTGCTTTCCTGTGAAAGCAGCTGGTACAAAGGAGAGCTGCTGGCAAACTGCTGTCCTGGCAGCCAGCAAGAGCCCAGGGAATGTCTAGATGGTTGCCCAAACCATATGTCAGGTCTCAGGAAACCAAGTCCCATTGAAACCAAAATCAGATAAAAGGCAGAACCCGGGCCACTGGCAAGCTGTCTATCCAGAGCTAAGGGGGAAGTTCTGTGCCCTAACGGTCCTGGCCAGAGTCATGGCCGGAAGGGAGCGCGCTCAGGGCGTGGCCGCCTGAAAAGGGAGTGGACCCTCCCCAGGAAGGCTAGAGCGTCAGCTCGACTGACTGGAGAGGAGCCGAGTGCAGGAACCCTGGGTCAAGGGTGAACAGGTTGTTTCCAACTAAAAATCCCCAAGACAGGACCAGCCTGACTAGGACACATCCCAGCACCAGATCTTCCATATTGACATGAGGCGGTCACCAAGAGCCAGTGCTGGGTGACACAGCACGTGGTGCGTCCGTTTATGATGAGAGTGCTCATGGTAGAACGTAACTGTGCCAGTCCCACACACTTCCCGAGGCAGAGATGGGCACCCCCAAACGGCCAACCTGGACAGTTGGTGGGCCTCGGGCAGGTGCTGTGTCCTCTGAAATGTTTACATTCAACAAGTATATCCTGTGCTACTTGGATTACAAACATTTAAAATTTTTGAAGTCTCATCACTAAAATGTTCTAAATCAGATCCATTAAATGTGACCACCACATTCTGTGAGCCGAGCAAGGGAAAGGCGATGGAAAGTTTAAAAAGTCATTTGCATAGCTAAGGTGCATTTAGTTTGCTCAGAGGCCGTGGGCACCAGGCCTGACGCCGTCTCCCCCGGCCCGCAGGAGGCCCTGGAGGCCTGCCAGACCCGCATCTCCAAGATGGAGCTGCAGCAGCAGCAGCAGCAGGTGGTGCAGCTGGAAGGGCTGGAGAACGCCACAGCCCGGAACCTTCTGGGCAAACTCATCAACATCCTGCTGGCGGTCATGGCGGTCCTTCTCGTCTTCGTGTCCACCGTGGCCAACTGCGTGGTCCCCCTCATGAAGACGCGCAACAGGACGTTCAGCACTTTATTCCTCGTGGTTTTCATTGCCTTTCTCTGGAAGCACTGGGACGCCCTCTCCGGCTACCTGGAGCGGTTCTTCTCCCCGAGCTGACCCGGCGCCCCAGGCCGTGCCCCTCCCCTCTGGCAGCGCATGCGGTGGAGAGCTAGCCACTTCCCCACTCGGAAGTTTTCTACAACCACAGAAGAGTTGAGTGAATCTGTTTACATTTAGAATAATGTTTTTTTTTTTTTTCTTCAAGAGACGCAATTGCAATAGTATTTTTTAGATTTTATCCAAGACGTTTTTTGGGCAAAATCTTGGATCATTTTTATGTAGCATGATTTTCCTTGGGATGCAAATCTTAAACAGTCCTTTAACATGAACCAACAGCCGGGAGCACGGTGAAGGGTTTGAAGGACTGCACTAAACCCACTAAACAATGCGAACCTGATTAGGGCGAAGCAGTTAACCCTGACACCCTCCCTGGGCCGGGCTCACCACTCTCCCCATCCCCAACTAACTACTGTGAAATCCCACATTCCCTGTCTGAATTGTGGGATTCAGGGTGGATTTTCCTCGTCCGTGGAACACAGGAATCTCCCTGACTTTCTTGTCCAAGTGGAACCTGGATTTGGATCCCTTCCGACCGTGCTCCCGCCCCTCTGCCAGGCTACGGAGGTGAGAGCCTCGCGCCGGGCCATGCCCAGGCCGCCGCTGTCCGGAAGCAGCCCTCCGAGGACCTAATTTTAAGCAGATCCCTTGGCCGCACTTTTAAGTTTTTTGATATGTGTATAGTTACCACCTTAAAAATAAAAGGTCCCCACAGCATACTTGAAGAATGTAATACTCAAACTCTCAGTGCTTCCTTACCGTTTCTAATAGGATTTTTTATTATTGTTATTATTATTGGGTTTTTTTGGAAAGGGTTGGGAGGGTCTTTTATTTTTCCTTTGAAATAAAGAAGTGATGTTTTTAAATGAAGAACTGTGTGGATACTTAAGTGTGCTGTTCCCTTTGTCTTGAGACAGTCCAAGTAAGAAAGGCTCGCCAGGGACGCCATGCCCAGTGCCCCCAGCCGGCCACCTCTGCTGCCCCATGCCACTTCCGGTGGGCCTCGGCTGCCCAGGACAGGGGCAGAGGCAGGCAGCAGCTGTGGCACAGCCAGAGCCCCAGGGCAGGGATTTCTTTGTTTTTTTTTTGCTTTTGGTCCTAAGAAAATGACCCCCCAGGACCTTGTGTCAGGTTTGTCTTTAGGAAAATGGGAACTGTATTATGAGAGTCCTAAATAATGCCTTGTATTTCCTTAATTTATTTCTTAACACTCCTTATTTACTGAAACCAAAGTGATGTGGAATCTTTGGTCTGCATTTTGGCGCCGCACCCTCAACTTCACAGCTCTCCTGTAGCTGCCTCAGAGGCAGGAGGGCTGACGCGCCCACGGACAGAGCTGTCCAAGTGGAAAGGACCCAAGGCCTGGGGGGAGATGCCGCCAGCTTCCTATTCTAGTCTGCCATGTTACCACCCTGGCCGTGGACGCAGCCCGAGCCGCCTTCCCGCCCCTCGCCACGGCCCCTCCCGGTGGAACGAGGCTGGTGACCCAGGTGAGCATTGCTGTGTCTCAAGGATCACTTCACACAACAGCTCCCACCTCCTTCCGAGTTGGCATGTTGTTGCCGGAACCACTCAGGTAGCCCAGCCTCACCCCACCCTCCCATGACTGTGGTCACCTCAGGATTATGTGGACTGCGATGACTTTTTTTTTTTAACAAGCTCCTGTTCATGCCAAAAACAAGGTGCCCCCATGCCTCTGTGTACTCCAAAGGCTAACTTTGCCTAAAAATCCTGCAGTGACTCGAGGTGAGGGCTGTGTCAGCCGGCACAGCTTCTCCTGCTCCTAGGAGCCCAGGCAAGCACCCTGCGGGGCTGCGGCCAAGCCACTGCCACTGCATTCCAGCCGCTTCTTGGAAGGGGGGTCCCAGGGTCCCCAGTGCACAGACTGACCTGGCTCTGATCCATGCTGGGGACACTGTCTCAGGAAGGTTTCCCCAAGCTTCAGGTGACTGTCCCATCTTCCTGTCCCAACCTGCCCGAGGAAGGCCCCTTAGGCCAAGCATGCAGGGTAGTGGCTTTCTGGCTCTCTCCCTTGTCCCTCAATTGGTCCCTAGGCCTGAGGCTGTGTGTGTTCAGTGCTCATGGTCCCCACTGCTGTCTCGGGCCTTCCCACCAGTCCTGCTGCCATGTTGCCTTTATGTTTCCTTGTGTTATGGCTGTTCTTGGAGTCTGTTCTGTGCCCTGGCTCTGATGGTCTAACTGTCCTGGATGGGAACTTGCCCTTTAATACTGTCTCTTTCCCAGGAACAGTCACATGAAGCAGCTGGTGCCTTGTCCATGCTGAGGCGTGGCCAAGGCGACTGTAGGTTGGAGATGACCTTCCATTAACACTGTTCTGGTCATCCAAGGGTGCTTCTGGCTGCTCCTATTTCAATTCCCTTGTTTTTGTTCAGTGCCTCTTAGCAAGGAAGGCTTTCCGCCCCACTTGTGGCAAAATGAAGTGTAATTGGGTGCCCCCTAACTGGGTCCTCCTCTCCCTGTACTCATTGGGATTAAACCTTAGACCAAGAGAACCGTGGACCTCAAGCCTTCCTCGCTAGCCATGTCCCAGTACTGAGCTGGTCATGACTGTGTTTGCTTTTTCTCCAAGTTCATGTTCCTCTAAGGTATGGTGGGATAAAACACTAAATCCCGAGTTGAGTTCCAATGAAAAGAGGCCTTTCAGCTCTGGGAAACGTGCGTCCAGAATCAGACCCCATGTCGCTATGGACACCCCGACACAGTTCCTGCACCGCCACCCCTGTGGGAAAGCAGGCTTCAGTGTGGCTCGGGCTTCTCGGTTCCATGCGTGTGTTGTGTATGCTAGTTGATACCCCCAAAGGGATTGATTAGAATGTGTGTTTTATCAAAGTGTGTAAGAATAAAAATTGACTTGTACAAATCGAAAAGAAATGACACTTGTGAACATGTGGACGGTACACTGTAGTGGAGAGATGTTAAGCTGCTGTCTGGTGGCCACTGTACATACGCCCCAAAATAAAGACCTCAGCTGCAGACCTGCGGCTCCGGCTCGCCTCTTTTGGCTCTTGGTTTTGCCCATTCTGTGACAAAGTGTGCAAGTCTGAAGACTTTTCACTAGTTGTGCATCAAAATGCACGCATGGCATGTGTGTGTGGGACAGAACACAAGGGCGTGCGCTGGACCAGCATCTGGAATCTGCAGCTGACACTGTGGCTCAGTGACTCTGCAGTGCCCAGCCTGACGGCTACAGCTTGGTAAGCCTGACAGAAAAGATCACCCTTCAATTCTTAGGGAATAGACAAGCCCCCACAAGCCCAGCAAGACTGCAGCAGGTACAGGCATCCATGCCCACACCAAGGAGTGGGGACATTTCCCACAGCACCTCACATCACAGCTCTGTGTGCACGGGAGGAGTTAGCTGTTGCTAGCCGCATCCCACCTGCTGTTCCACTGGAGCCATAACAGCTTCCGGGGTCTTTTCCCTTACCTCTGGGGGACCTCAAGGCCACACGTTCTATACTTGCAAGTGACAGGACACCAGGCAAGCCCCGAGCGGTGGTCCTCCACAGCTACATCTGCATGTCGCAGGAGGACCCACTCGGGTTACATCTGTGAGGCTGCCAGTCTTGCACCACCCACCTTAAACCTACAAGTGGGCATTTTGAGGACAAGGGACACCTCTTGGGGACAACTGCTGCAAGCATGCCCAGGTGACCTGCGGCTTCCTGACACATGGGCAAGGCTGCCATGGACAGATGTGCATGACGTACGGTGCTGGTTGCAGATGCTTCCAACAGAGGCCACCCTGTGCAGGAGCTGTGTGTCCTCAGTGCCCAGAGCAGCTCTGATAATGGGCCTGATGGAACTTATTTTTAAAGACATTTATGTATTGGTTTATTTGAAAAGCAGAGTAAACCCAAGCCAAGCCTGAAATTCCATCTGAGTCCTTCACAGGTGCAGGGGTCCAGGCACCCTGGCCATCCTCTGTTGCATTCCCATGTGCATCAGCAGGGAGCTGGACCAGTGGAGGAGCCATCTGGCTCCCTGCCGCCCATGTAGGAGACAGGGTGGAGCTCCCGTGTCCTGGCTGCAGCTTGCCCAGCTGTGGTGGGTGACAACATCTGGGGAGTGAACCAGTAGGTGGAATCTGTACCTCTATCTCGCCCTCTCAAGGAAACAGACATAATTAAAAACAATTTTGAAGGGATGAAGGAGAGCTGGTCATGTACTCTGGAGAAGATGTGCAGGAGCAGATTGGGGAGTGAGGCCTTCCAGAACATGCTCCCCCATCCGCCATGCGTGTGCACGTGCGTGCTGGGGTCAGGAAGATGTGCACAAAGCTGTGACCCTGGCAGTGACAGGCCGGAGCACGTGGAGACGCCAGAAACCTCACAAGGAAAGCACTGGGCTGCACATGGTGGGGGGTGTGTGAGTGAGAGGCGGGGCAGACAGTGCTGCTTCAGTTAACACTAGATAACTTCTAGACGTGCCAGAGAAGTCGACAAGCACGGCTGCACACGATCTTAAGTTTTGTGAAGGCAGGTTCCCGTCTGGCAGAATCCCTTAGAACACAGCAGAACGCTCGCCCTCGCACATGCCCCGGCTGCCCCATCAGCCTCGGCCCCTAAGTGATTTGGTAAGAGCAACAAACTCAGTAGCCGGCCAGCGTTTGTCCTAGCGGCCAAGGTGCCAGTTAGGGGCCCGTGTTCCACACCACAGCGCCGAGGCCCTGCCTTCAGCTCTGTCCACACTCCAGCTTCCTGCTCCTGCACACGCTGGCAGGCACAACCCTGAAGTGGCCGGGCCACTGCCCCGACAGGACACCTGGGCTCCCGTCTCTGGAATCCCACATTTGAGCTGCACTCTCGATGCAGCGCCCTATAATGCACGTGGGAGAGCAGCAGGCAATGTCCCTGAGGGTCCCTGCCACTCCTGGGGGAGACCCTGAGCCCCAAGCTCCTAGCCTTAGCTTGGCCCACTCCAGCCAGTGCAGCCATTTGGGGAGAAACCCAATGGGCGGTCACCCTGTCTCTAATTCTCAAAAAAAAAAAAAGACTGCTTTGGTTACCCACAGCCCTTCTATCAGAGTGCTGGGAGCAAATCCCATCTCTGCTGCTCATCTAGCCGTTGCTAGAATGTTCCCTGGGAGACAGCAAGTTGTTCCTCAAGTGCCTGAGCCCCTACCCCTTAGCCCCTTAGTTCCCAACTCCTTGCTGTCACCATCCACTGACAAGGGGCTCCAGCGGCAGGACAGCCGGCCTGCAGGCTAATACAGGTGTGGGAAGGCTCAACTCCCAAAAGCAAAGGACCCCTGTCCCAAGTCCCAGGCTCAGCTCCACCAGCCCCTTGGCAGGCAGATCTGAAGGAAGTGCTGGAGAGGGGCACCAGGGGCAGCCCAAGTCTGAGAGGGTCTGAGAAGCCGTGCTTTCTGGGAGAAGGCCGAGGACAGGGGCTGGGGCTGGGCAACTGAGGAATCAGCGAGCAAGGAGAGTGCACTGAGTAGGATTGTGAAAGGTGAACAGATGGGTGGGGGAGGAGGGGTGAGGGAGGATGGGCCGGGAGGAGGGGTGAGGGAGGACGGGCTGGGAGGAGGGCTGAGGGAGGACGGGCCGGGAGGAGGGGTGAGGGAGGACGGGCCGGGAGGAGGGCTGAGGGAGGACGGGCCGGGAGGAGGGCTGAGGGAGGACGGGCCGGGAGGAGGGGTGAGGGAGGACGGGCCGGGAGGAGGGGTGAGGGAGGACGGGCCGGGAAGAGGGGTGAGGGAGGAAGGCTGGGAGGAGGGGTGAGGGAGGACGGGCCGGGAAGAGGGGTGAGGGAGGACGGGCTGGGAGGAGGGCTGAGGGAGGACGGGCTGAGAGGAGGGCTGAGGGAGGACGGGCTGAGAGGAGGGCTGAGGGAGGACGGGCCGGGAGGAGGGGTGAGGGAGGACGGGCCGGGAAGAGGGGTGAGGGAGGAAGGCTGGGAGGAGGGCTGAGAGAGGACGGGCCGGGAGGAGGGGTGAGGGAGGACGGGCCGGGAGGAGGGGTGAGGGAGGACGGGCCGGGAGGAGGGCTGAGGGAGGAAGGCTGGGAGGAGGGGTGAGGGAGGACGGGCCGGGAGGAGGGCTGAGGGAGGACGGGCCGGGAGGAGGGGTGAGGGAGGACGGGCTGGGAGGAGGGGTGAGGGAGGACGGGCTGGGAGGAGGGGTGAGGGAGGACGGGCCGGGAGGAGGGGTGAGGGAGGACGGGCCGGGAGGAGGGGTGAGGGAGGATGGGCTGAGAGGAGGGCTGAGGGAGGACGGGCTGAGAGGAGGGGTGAGGGAGGACGGGCCGGGAGGAGGGGTGAGGGAGGACGGGCCGGGAAGAGGGGTGAGGGAGGATGGGCCGGGAGGAGGGGTGAAGGAGGACGGGCTGGG